TGGAGGAAATCTTTAAGAAGTTAGAGTACACGGCCCAAGTCTGGTTTCTGATCAAAGGCGCTTTATTGGCTCAGCAAAACGATTATATACTGTTATCCCAGGGGGAAGGTTCAGCAAGCTTATTGGACAGTTCAAACAAATCAATCACATGAGTCACTCAAGCATTTAACCATACAGCAATCAGTATTTTACCAAATGTGGGGAGGGGTAGGTGGGAAGGCATACATCAACAGTTAACCCTATGCAATCTTTAACTTAACAATCTCTAGGGGCAAGTAGGACAAGGAAATACCACCGGCCTCCTGCTCCAGATCCCGTGACCCTGTGGTTAGCACAAAGGGCTATTTTTTCTGTAAGATTCCCTGTTTGCCCAGGGGCTAGACCTGCCATAAGTCACGTATGTAGTCTAGTGGGATTTTTCCACCGAGGCAAAGGCTAAGGTTGAGGGCAGTCATCTTATGCAGGCCCAAGCAGTCTCTCACACCTACCCAGGAAGAAGGGATGTCTTCCCATTTCCTAATATCCTCTTCAATCTCTTTTTTCAGAGCACTGTAGTCTTCAAGGTAGAGAGTTTTTATTTCTTTTGTTAGATTAATTCCTAGGTATTTCATTTTTTGGATGATATTGTGAAAGGAATTATTTCTCCAGTTCCTCTCTCAGTGAGTGTGTTGTTCATGTACAGGGAATATACCAATTTTTGTGTGTTGATCTTGTATCTAGCTAGTCTACTGGATCTGGCTAGTAAGTCTAGAAAACTTTTGGTGGAGTTCTTGGTGTCTTCTATATAGAGTATCATGTCATCTGCAAATAATAACAATTTAAATTCTTAATTTCTTATAGTTATTCCTTTTATTTCTTTCTTTTCTCTAATTGAAGTGGCTAAAGTTTCCAGAACTATATCAAACAAGGGTGGTGATAGTGGACATCCTTGTCTTGTTCTTGATTTTAGTGTGAAAGATTTCAGTTTTTGACCATTTAGTCTGATGTTGGAGGTTTGTTTTTCATAGATGGCTTTTATCAGGTTGAGATAAAGACCATCCAATCCAGTTTTCTGTAGTTTTTATTTTTTTGATGAATGGGTGTTGGATTTTGTGAAGTGCTTTTTCTTCATCTATTAAGATGATCATATGGTTTTTGTCCTTGACTTTAATATAGTGCATTGCATTTATTGACTTGTGTATTTTGAACCATCTGTGCATGCCTGGGATGAATCCCACTTGGTCAGGGTGTATGATTTTCTTCATTCTGTTTGCTAGTATCTTATTGAGGATTTTTGTGTCTATTTTCATTGGGGAGATTGGCTTATAATTCTGTTTTACAGTTGGGTGTTTGTCTGCTTTTGGAATCAAGGTGATGTTTGATATCCAGAAATGAATTTGGGAATATTGCTCCTCTTTCAGCTTCATTGATGAGTTTTTAAACAGTAATGGTAATAGTTCTTCGCTAAATATCTTTAGAATTCAGCAGTGAAGCCATCGGGACCTGGGTTTTTCTTCATTGGTAAGTTTTAAATTACTTTTTCAATTTCATTTATTGATATTGCATTGTTTAGAATTTTTGGGTCTTCTTTGTTCAACTTTGATAATTCACATGTATCTAGAAATCTGTCAATTTCTCCGGTGTTTTCCATCAAATTTGCATGTAGGTTCTTAAAGTAGGTATTGATTTTCTAGATTTTTGCTGGATCTGTTGTAATTCCCAGTTGCCTGGATTTGGGTCTTTTCTTTCCTTTTTTGATAAGGTTGGCTAAGGGCTTGTCAAATTTGTTTATTCTTTTGAAGAACCAGTTATTTGCTTCACTGATTTTTGTATCATTCTCTTATCTCCATTGCATTGATTTCTTCTCTGATCTTTATAATTTTCTCCCTTGCATAAGCTTTGGGTTTGTCTTGCTCTTCTTTTTCTAGAAGGTTGAGGTTCAGCATTAGCTTATTTGAGCTCACTCTGTTTTCCTAATATGAATATGTATTCACTGCTATCAGTTTTTCTCATAAGACTGCTTTCATTGCATCCCATAAATTCTTAGATGTTGTATTGGCATTGCCATTTAGTTGTAGAAACTGTCTAATTTCTTCTTTAATTTTCTTTATGGCCCATTAGTTTTTCAGGACTATGTTGTTCAATTTCCACATGTTTATGAATTTCTTGTGGTTTATTTTGCTATTGATCTCCAATTTAATCACACTGTAATCTGATAATATATGGGGGATAAATTGCCTTTGCATTTACTTAAACATATTCTATGAGCAAGTATGTGGTCTATTTTTGTAGAATGACCCATGTGCAGCTGAAAAGAATGTGTATTCTATGTGGGATGGAACAGTCTGTAAACATTTGTTAAGTCTGTTAAAGAGTTTGGTTGAGTTCTAGTATTCACTGTTTTTTTTTTTCTTGTTATCTATCTCTTTGTGACAGTGGGGTATTGAGGTCCCCACTACTATTGTATTAGTGCTTATTTGATTTTTCCTGTCCATTAATATTTGTTTTATATAGTTGTATGCACTAATATTTGATGCATATATATTAATTAATGTCATCTCTTCCCCTTGGATTATTCCCTTTACAAGGATGTAGTTGCCTTCTTTGTGTCTCTAAATTAATGTTGGTTTGAAATGTATTTTATCTGCAAATAGGATAGCTACATTTTTTTTCAGGTTCCTGTTGCCTGTCATATTGTTTTCCACATTTGAACTTTCTGTCTATGAGTTTCTTTTTGAATTAAATGTATTTCTTGTATGCAGCATATTGTTGGGTCTTGATTTTTGACCCATTCTGCCAGTCTATTTCTTTTGACTGGTGAATTGAGACCATTAACACTGATGGTTATAACAGACATACATTGAGTTAACTTTGTCATGATCTTTTCCTGTTTGTGGATTCCCCCATCTTGAATTTAATTTCTTGTCCTTCCTGATGGATTCATTTTGCTGTGCTTTGTGAGGTTGTGACCCTCATTGTCTTTTCCTAGGAGAGAAGGAAGGAACAAAAACAAGAACAGGACAAACTGACAGCAACAGAAGAACCAGAAACTGTTCTCACTCCTATAAAAATAAGAACAATCAAGAAAAAACAGGACAAAAACACGATAAAGAAAAGTGAGAAATGAAGGAGAAAAAAAAAGTTCAGACAATGTAGTGTACAGATCAGATGTTGGCTGATCTCAGGGAGCCAGCAGTAGTCCACTGACGTTCAGGCTGGGTTCTGGGCAGTGATGATGGAATTGCGCCCCCTGACCTCCTCCAGATGAAAAGTTTGCACAGTTTAACTGCAGGTTCAAGCCACCCTTCCCCTACAAGTCTGATTCCAGTAGGAGGTACTGACAGGAACAACTCACCAACCACTGCAGTCTGCTGCACCTTTTTTGAGGTGGCTCTTTGCTCTCCCAATGGGCTTCAATTCTCAACAAACCTCGGAGTGGCCTTCTCTTTACTGCTTACCACTGCTCCAATTCCTGGACTTAGAAAGATGGCTTTCTGGATCTCTGTGCCATGTTGCTGTCCTGGTGGGCCTCTGGCTGGGGCCTGCATGCCTGTACAACTGTTTTCTGGGAGGGCCTCCAATGATAACTAGTCTTCAAACTGTCAAAACAGCAAAGCACTTCTTATCACTAGCTACAGGATAACTTGTCATGCATTTTCTCCTTCAAGGTAGTTTAATCTTAGGGATTTCATGATCATTTCCTGTCCTAATATTTAAAGATTTGCCATTTATCACTCTAAGGAAGAGAAAAAACATGGTATGCAGATTTACTTATTCAAGATATGTGCAACTTCATAATTTATATTTAATCCTATCAGCACTTTCATACAGAAGTTGATATGGTAGAAATAACTGATTTTTAGAAATATATTTAATAACTTAACCTCAAAAGAATTTGTGCACAAAACTTTAAAGAAATATTTCCCAAGTATGTTGTGCACAACCAGTTTTCTATAGTTTGTTAGCAACTGCCACATATATGCATGCACATGCTCAAACACACACACACATGCACGCACATATATACACACACACACACACACTCACCCACAGTATGTATTGGTTTGGAAATGCTTCTTGAACAAATGTAAACTGGCTGATTTACTCTAAAACTGCAAAAGTTGTGCCAATTAACACTAGGAGAATATAGTTTAGCACATTTTCACAATTTATTAAATCACTATCAATTTCAGAGGATCAAGCGATAAGACTGATGATTTAAAGTAAAAAACTTCAGAAAATGTGTTCAATATGAAGAACTACAATACTACAGACTTCCTATATGTGAACAACTTTCAAATCCCAGATTTCTCCCTTAACCAGTTGTATGACCATTTACAAGCTGCTTGATTTCTTGAGCAGAAACTAGATGAGCAACAACTATCTCACAAGATTGTTCTGAGATTAAAAGTGATGAATTATGTGAAGACCTTCAGACACAGAAGTCTTCAATGTATTAATCAATCTGAGTTCCCTTCCCCCCTGACTTTACTGTCTCTCCTGATGGCCCCTCATGCACATGAACGTGTATTTACATGGTTCTATAAAACTGAATCTGCATTGACATAGTCCATACAATTTAGTAGACTAGTTAGTATCCTATTGTATACACTACCTCCATTGGGTAATTACTGTTTGGTGGACCTTTGAGTTATTTTCAAATTTACCCTTTCATAAACAACTTTGTATGACAAGCTTGGAACAAATGAATTGTTTGCTTTTACATTACTTTCAAGGAGTCTATTCCCCAATGTGAAATTAATAGGTCACAGGTAAAAACGTATTATATCACTTTTGTCACATAATATACTGCAGAAAATCCTAAACAATTTACAATGTAATCTAAAATATATAAGCCTACCTTTATTCTAAGACGTCATCAATGGATTTTTATTGCTTTTGCTTGTTTAACTGCTGAATACTGATGATTTGACATTTTAAAGTCATTTTATTTAATTTCCAAAATACTGCGGATTTGAGTATGCTTATTTGCTACCTTTATTTTTTGTGTGTAAAATATGTATTCTGCCTGCCTGGAATTTATTCACTAAAATTTGAGTTTTCATCTAACCTTATTTCTTATGAAAGGTTATAAAATATAAAATATAATTACTGCTCTCTTAGAATACCTGGAAAGCTTTGTCATGTGACTCCCAGAGCTTCTTGTTCCTCCACATACCCTTCATCATCATTCCTTCTGAAGCTGACAGATGTTAGTGGATCCTAAAATTTCTAGTACAAGAGTGCTACCGCAAATTATTCAGAGCTTAAATCAATTTAGTTGGTCAGGAGTATTTCTGATATCAGTTTTTCTTGAAAACTAGAAGAAGCATGATCCTAAATTTACGTTTGCAATTTACAGATAAGCAAGGCTTTAAATGTGATCCAAATGATCACAAACTTACTTTGCGGAGGGGACAGAGCAATGTACATACAATCATTTCAGAGGAATATTTCTGCCTATAGGATCTTTTCTGTATTATCAAGGCTAATAGGCCACTGTCTACTCTATTTTTTTTAGGAGGACACTTAACCTCAGACAGCATGTTCCATTTTAGAAATCTGTGGCTTAGCAATAAGCAACTTGGCCAACTAGTTCAGTACTTGGTCTCAACTTCAATAGTGATGACTAGTTTTTATGTCTGGAGCTCAAAGATTAAGACGCTACCTTGATTTTGCCTCATTTGGCACCCCGCAGTATTAGTTTTCTGTTTCCCAAAATTGAAGCTATTTTGTGAGTGTTGAGTTTTCTTGGGCTTTTTTTTTTTTTTGGACCAATTGATTGATTGTGCACACTGATTTGCTACCTGTCCTTAGCCTGCAGAGGTATGGATTTACTTTATCAATTAGTAATAGATGAAAGATCTGCCATTGTGGTAGAATGTCAGAAGCTCTGCTATTGTTTTCCAGAGAAGAGTATCCATTATTTACATAATAAATGAAAAATGTCTTTCTTGCCAAGATGCAAAAAGTAAGGACTTACTTATATGTACATACATTACTCATCTACTTCCTCTTCTATGTTGGAAAAACACGCTCTATAAAAAAGCAGACATAATAAAAATTGTGTACTGAAAGAAAAGAGACAGAAAGAGAAACTATGAAAAAGTTGACTGGTAATCATCTGCAGACAAAGTTCACTAGATGTCACCCTGCTCTTGAATCAGGATTAATGTTTTACTGAGAGGGAATGTTGGCTGGAAAGATGCCTTTAGTTTCCTGTTAAAGAATTCTTATTACCCACCAAGCCTAAAATGATGGATTATCTATGTATACAAATGATTCCTATTCATAAAACTAACTTTTGGCTTTCAGCAAATGAGTCTAAGTTTCATGAACTTTTGACATTTGAGCAATGGTGTATTATACTAAACTATTATGTAATTTTTTATAATTCATAATTATATAATTGGAAATTCAAATAAGCAAGAGGAAAAAAACTATATTGCTTTAACTCCAGAAACAAAATCATAAACATTTTAATATATCCTTCCAGAATTCTTTTTATAAACACAGATGCATATTAAAAAGTTAGTTCAGGGTCAGGGATTTCGCTTTAGTGGTGCCACCACCTGCTTTGCAAGTGCAAGGTCCTGAGTTCTATCCCCAGTACCAAAACAAAAACAAAAACAAAAATAAAAGTTAACTCATACATTACATATTTACTTTTTCCATGTTAACAAATAAAATTTTATTGCATGCACAATCCCATTTATATGCCATGGGAGTTTTATTATTTATTAATTAGTTCCATATAGTCAAACACAGGTACTATATGCCTGATATCCTAATACCTTGAGATCAGATGTGAGCTTCTACTTTTCTTATGTGTTTTATAATAGCATCTCACACCATGTTAACTTCTTCTTCTTCTTTAAAGTGTTAACATTTCTCCTTTAAAGTGGTTGTGCAGTTTCAAAACAAAATCTGATGCCAAGCAAAGCACTTGATATAAAAATGCTTACTGCTAAGATTTTCATACAGTAAACTGCCTTGCAACAATTAAGCTAGGTTGTCACTTGATGAGCTGGAGAACCACTGAGGAAACTTAGGGTTTCTCTGCATGGGTCCTGGGGCCGGCCTTTGGTGTTCATCTGGCCCCAGCCCCTGCCTCTCTGGAGTGACCCCTGCTGTGTTTCCCATCTCCCATGAAGTGAGCAGCTGTGTTGTGTCATGATGCTCCTGCCTTGGAGACTACTGACCCTGGATTGAAACCCCTGACACTGTGAGCTAAATTTCCTCTCCTGCAAGTTTGGGTGTTGATTATTTTTTCCCTGAAATGGTAGGCCCTCAAGGATCTGTTAAGGTTAAGTAATATACTAAACAGTACCCGTTCACTTGATAAAAGAATAAGACAAAGTCCCATGGCCTTTCTCTTTTCTATGTGCCAAAGGATCCACTAATAAACTTAAAACTAATTACTACAGTCCCCTAAAACTGAGTATTAATCAACTAAAATCAACACACTGATAATTTTTACTAAAAATATACATCAATAGTTTATTATTCTTTTTTCACATTAATTTAAAGTTATATGCTGGCATTGTGCTAAATATATGTGTATATGAATATACTCATATAACATAAATACTAATTTTTTAACAACCCTAAAAGAAATCATTATTGCTACTTCAGTTATACCAAGAAAGAAAGCAAGGCCTAGATAGGTTACACTACACAGTCAGTTCTGTGTCAGGGCTCTGATGCTGGAGCCCGTGTTTTCATTACTACATCTTAATAAATTCTGGGTGCTAGATTATGAGTATATTCAAAACTTCCCTGGACCTTATCACAAATAGATAAGAAGAAAAATAATACATTCTCTAAAACTGGAAACACAGGTTATTAGAAAATCTGACAAGCTATTTTAGTTCATCTGGACTGTAGCATATAAATTGTTTAGCTTTAAAAGAGAAAATTTTATTTCTCATAGTTCTTGAAACTGAGTCCAAGGTCAAGTCCTCTAGAAGATCCAGTCTCTGATGCTGTCTCAGTTCCTTAAATACGGCTCCTTCTTCTGTTCTTACACAGGAGAAAGGAATTCTTGGTAGGGTATCTTAAAAAGGTATGAAAACCATCCATAGTGTCATCCCTCACTACCTCTCATCTGCAAAGGTCCCATCCCCTGATACTATCACTTTGGGGATAGGCACTGCAACACACAAATTTAGAGGAGGGACGCATTTATACTAGAGGGCAAGAAGAAAACTCCTCTGTTAAATTTACATTTGCGCTCTGCATTCTTCCTGTAAGCAAACCTTAAAATCTGTTAATATAATAGAGGAGTTGGAGGTCAAATAAAGCTTTTATATATACAAGAAACACTCTAAAGTAAAAGCAGCCATGGTAGAATTGAAGAAAATCCAAAGTGGCTGAGGCATTCCTAGCAAGGTGATGACCAGCATGCAAATAATAAAGTATTAAAGGCCAGATGATGCTGGAAATTATAGTCATTATAATTTATATATAATTTATATAGTCATTATAGTTAGAAATGCCTATCCTTTATCTAAGGGCTTTGGGGATCTGTCAGTGATTTTAAGTTTGTAAATGTTGTGTCTACATGGAAATCCTTGGAAATTTACTAACTTACTACCTAAAACCACAAAGACATAATTTGAAATGCCATCAATTTTTGTGAAAAATATTTTGTTTTAAGTAAGTATTTGGTTGTCTGAGGCTTTATTTGAAATTACTTACTACTTTTTAATTTTAATTATTCTTTGCTTATTCTAATGACCTGTTTAGTTGCCTATAGAATTTGTATCCAATCTCATCCATATAAAAGTGGAATGTTGCATCAATAATATTTTTGGTCCAAACACTCTAAAATACTACGTAAGTATAATATATGTCATAGCAAAAATATAATAATGCCTGCTTGTGTTTCTATAGAGAATGGGTACATAAATCCATTCAAATTTTCATATGAAGAACTTCATTGTTACCACATATACTGTTTTCATCCTTGAAACATTGGAACAAATAGAAAAATTAGTTTTGTCAAAGGTATTATCAGTGGGTCTGGGTCAAAATAAAATGTGATACCTTTATATATCCACATGGCATATGTCTGACCTAAAACAGTTACTGCACCATTATTCCCATTAATGTAATGGAAGGTAGTAACATAGAAGGAAAGGAGAAGTCAAGTTGTGTTTCTGAAAGTTATGAGAATGGCTTCAGACCAAGCAGTGTCTTGTGGAACAGAAGCACTTTGTCTAAGCAGAATTTTCCAAGGTTTTTGATTATAGGAACAAGAAGGAAGAAAATCGATATATGCATGAAAGCCCAAAAGCATCGCGTAATCACAAAGTTAAGACAGCTTAAAGTTTCAGAAAGTAAGCCCAATTGTGGGGGTGATAAGGCAGGACAGGCATGCAGCTTTTCAGGCATCCATGTGAATAGGCCTGTCTCTCACAGACTTTTGAAAAGAAATAATTGTCAGAGAGGTAGATCAGATGTCCCACACCAACCAACCAACAGAGGAACTAGTGTGGGCTAATTTATGAAAGTATTTCTTGAGAATGATAAGTACTTGGCTGTCCTGTGAAAAATTAAATAAAAATATTTTGATCACATTATTATGAAGGAATTCACATTGTCGAGATGGCTCGAAATTTCTATTTTTATGGAAATTGGTAGTCAGGAAAAACACACAAAGGAGATGATTAATATGTATGTACAGAGATTTGGCTCCTGATAAACACCCATATGATAACATCAGGTCTACTCAGCACATTAGCAAGATTTGGCAAGATTTATCATTTGTCTTAGCAACCTCCCCAGGAAATGAAGCTTGGCTGATGCAAAGCCATCTTAGGAAAGGCCAAATCTGCATATTATTAACATTTGTGTTGGTGGGATCCCAAAAATGGGTATAGTCTAGCCCAAAATGAGTGTTATAATAAAAAATCCCCACTTGCTATAAGAATGTTAAATCACATAAAGAAAGATTTTTAAAAAAGCCCAAATGGCTGGTGTCAAAATTCATAGCAACTATGTTATGTGCAGCAGCTGCCCCTGCTTGGTAACCAAGGAGCTCTCTGGTTAGGAATGTTTGTTTCTCACATCAGAATTTAAAGTAGATGGTGGTATATGCTGGGGAACAACTCATGAAAATGATGTGGTCTCTTCTTCCTTTCTCCATAACTAAAGCATCAAGCATCAAAACAGGAGCAAGCTATGATGTAACGGTGTTTTCAACTGTGAATTTCAAAGACATGTTTTTCTACCCTAAGAATGGCATTTGAAAAAGAAATGTGACTAATAAGTTATTGGCCACTCCCACTAATATCATAGTTTAGAGTTTCCTTTTCAAGTCATCTTTCCTAGGAACCCAGTATTGGCTTAAGACCAGTTTATTTACTTTGTGTCGAAAAGTTGTTTCTCAAACCCACTTATCTAGAAAGCTTATTTAATATACTTCTTGAGAAGATCGAGAAAAAAAGATTTTTTAAGTCAAGTTTTCTAGAAGAACTCTCAACATTTCCAATCTAGGATTCCGTTTTGGCTGAAGGAAAGTACACAGACAGAAATATTAATAAAGAAAAATGAGAGGTATTGAGATAAATGTGTTTTAATCAAGTCCCTTTCTATAGAAGTGAAGAGAGTGAACAGAAGGGATCTAGAAATAAGAACTCCTGCAATGACTATAGTCAGCATAACCACAATTATTTGAGTAACTTTAAGGAAAAACCTAGAAATTAGAGACAAATAAAGGTCTCTTTTGCAGCTTTTTGGGCCACATGAGAAAGGCAAAGGCAAAAAGACCAAGAGACTAGTCCATAATATATATGCCAGTGAAAGTCCAAGAGACTGATAATCCACTAGGATTCAGTCCACTTTTACCCTCAGCTAGAAGATGATAAATAAAATTCTTAAGCTTCCTATGACTTCTGTTCTCTCACATTATTGAGCAATTTCCAGCTGTTGACATTCTTGAGTGACCTTAGGTTAGAGTTAGATTTTGTGGAAATATACATGATTCATTTGTCTGCAATTTGGAAATAGACCATGTAGACAAATTTGCCACCTGCACCTAAAAAAAGATCCTAAGGATTTTTGCAAGACGAGTAAAGAATACTATGCTTTTGGGAGAACTACTGGCAAACGCCCTGTAAAACTAAATCACAGAGAAAATCTTCATAAAACATGAGTGAAAAGATTGACATTCCAAACTTCTATTTGCCTGGTTTACATGCCCACCCATGCAATTATGCACTTCAGCTTATTTAGATGAACACACATCTCTGAAAGTCTGGCACTGGAAATGTAGACAGGCCTCTTGAACGTTACTTTCTATGATGCCAAAGAGAAAAATAATTTTACAGGAAATTATATTATTGTTATTAAAGAGAATAGGCAGAGTTTATTTTAAGAAAAATGTTGTTATATTGCATATGAAATAAAAAATGATATGCTATCTTCAATATAAATAGGCCTGCAGAAATTTAATAAACACATATTGTACATTTTGATAGAGAGAATGAGAACTAATTTCATAAATAGCCTGTGAAAAATAGCATATTTTTTTCCTCAGAAACCAGGTATAAATTATATGATGAGAAATTGCAATTAAAGCTTAAAGATTTCAGAACTTTTAGCACTTGGAGGAAAAAGTAGCTGGATATATTTTCCAGTTCTATCAATGTATTTCTTATCAAGAATATATTTCTATGTTTCAAGCAGTGTTTCCTTTTTGTTTGCAGAGTTAGGCAGATTAGAATTTGACTGGAAGTAGTACTAAATTCTTTGTAAACATATTTTTGAGTTTAAATAAAATACTATAAATAATGAGGTAGCTAACTGTATTGGTCAGGATTTTCTAGACAAAATCCTATTATAAAATACATGTATGATTATACAAGGAGTCTATATGGTAGGTTTATAGAATAAGAATCAGAAAGTTCCGGTGGTTATCTGCCAGATCGGAGATTGAAGAATCCAAAATGGCTACCTGTACATTGGAGGACTGGAGCATCCAGTAGGAGTTGAAGTTGAAGACAAGTCATTGGTATGATTCTGTCAGAAAGCTGAAAGTTTGCTTTAGGAGGCTAAAGAGTCTATGCAGGAAGCCTGAAAGAAGTGGAGATCAACATCCAAAACCAGTGGTGATGACCAGAGCTCCTCTAAAGGGTAAACTTACTTCTTTTTTGCTGTTTATTTTGTCCAGGCCAAAGACCTGTTAGTTGGTACCACCATATCCTGGGTGAGTCTTCCCTCAGTCTGTGGCTTACATGTTAATCATTCAAAGACACACCCAGAGCTTTACTAATCTCTGAGGTGACATTGTACTGGCTAATGTTTCTCTTAGAATAACTAGAAAAAATAATTCTAGGTTTTTAAAGTCTGAGGAATTTGAAAGTATGAGGAACTGAGAAATTAGGAAGTAGACCTTAAGGAGAAGAGAAAACTAAACTGAGTGGTGAGGTGAGCACAACCCCATACACAGTATTTCTTCCCACAGGGACATATGCTAAATCTTGGCACAGATTATAAAACAACCATGATTTATAAAAATAGTTTTAAAAACAAAGAATTTCATAAGAAAGTTGGAATCTACAAAGGAGAAAGAAATATAAATTCTGGAATTGAAAAACACTAAATTTGGAAACAGTGAGTTTGGATATAGTTCAAAGTACTGTATATTCAATAAATGAGACTGAATATAGTTAAACAGAGCGGTGGAGAGCTGGGATACAAGTTAAAATAAAATATTCAGACTAGAGAGATGAAATGATGCAAGTTCTAGGCAAGCAGAGAGTGGATTCATAGGACACTTTTGAAAATGTCTAACATACATGCAAGTCAAGTCTTACAAGATTGACAAAATGAAGAAGAGTATTGAAAGACATCGTCAAGAACTTGCCAAAATGGCCGCAAGAAACCACAGACTTGAATAGCAGTAATATCGCAAATAACATTAGGAAAATAAAACAGCTCTCACATGAAACAAAACTACTTAAAATGAAAAATAAAGGAAATCTTAAATGCAGTTAGAAAACACGTGATGTGAACATAGCAGCAACAATAGCGCTAGTATTTACACTAAAGAAAGACTAGAAGGATGCTGGAGAAACAGAGTTCATCACTAGTTGACCTGCACCTATAGACACATCAGAGGAAGATTTTCAGGCAGCAACAGAAAAAAAAAAAAAATTCTTTGCAATAAATAAAAAACGTAGAAAAATAAAGAATAGATGTTTCCCATCATCTCTATTTTTTCTCTTTATTTATACTTCAGATTCCTCATATAAGAGGAACTATATGGTATTTAGTCTCATGTGTCTAACTTATTTCACTTTAGCATTATAGTCATTATAGTCTCAAAAAGGGAAAAGGAAATAAAAAGAATCAAGATGTGTTTTTTTACGTTTACCAACTCCCTATAATAAATGCAAATGGTACATACTGTAAGCAGCATTATAAAAATAAAGATTAAAAAGAAAAAGAAAGGAATAAAAAGCAATATAAATATAAATTTGGGGGTGGCTCTAAGTAGATATACACTGATGAAAATAATAATGTCTTGTGAAAATTAAATACATGGAGAGTTAAAACACAGGACAATGGTAATACAAAAGTCTGGAGAGCAGTAAGTAGTTCTAGTGCTTTGAGAGAAAGGGATAAAAGAACTAGCTTGTATGAGACTCTTTCATAAAGGCTGATAATCTATAATCTGTAGAATAATCACTATTTCAGTGGTCAAAACTACTACTAATAATAGAAGTGGAATAATAAAATGTTTCAATAATTCAAGAGAATATAAGAAAGCAAATAAAAACAAACATGAAGACACTTAATTGAAACCTAGATGCTAGATATAAATTCTTATTATTCAGTAATTGCATTGCATACAAATGGTTTAAGTACTCCTACTCATGTACCTTACCAGTCTCACACGTAGAATCCTGAATCTTACAAACCAACAATCCAGACTTACTTGTAGCTATTTTTTGTGCATATACAGAGCTCTTTTCTTATGGCCCAGTTGCAACATCAGCTATGGGGCTGAGTCCAAAGAAGCCCCAAACACATATTCAGCTGCTAGAAACTATCCTGTGTCCCTTTACTACTGTTCCTTCATTTCATGTTTTAGGAAATATTTTCTTCCACTTCTAAACTTGATCCATTCTGTATCCAGTGGTCCTTAAGGGGAATAATACTCCTCTCAGGGGGGAAAAAAAAACTTAAAACTCTGCAGTTTATCTGAAAGAAAAATGATTTTCGTCTTTAGATTTGCTAAACTCTTGTTATTTTACACAACTTGCTTCTGATTTCTGTATTTGAACATATCTCTAGAACCCCACCACAGAAATCAAAGGTATCCCATTCTAAACATTATAGCACCGTTCTCACCTCTTTCAGGAAAATATCCACAATTGACTAGGTTACATCCTGTATTATTAGCTCCGCACTCAAAATTTCTTCATTTCATGTCTCAGCTGTATCATTGATAAAAATTGAAATACTTGACAATATATTTCATTGGCAAGGCTGTGACGAAACCAACACTTTCTAACATGGATATTGGTTTTCCTAGAAACTGGAAGGACCTCTTAAATTTAAAAATTTGATAAATTCTGAAAAACTGCATATGCATATACTTCTCAGACTATTATATCTCATTATTTCTAAAAGTGACCAAGAACAGAAAAAAATATGATTTTTTTCTGCTTTTCCTGTAATAATGGTTAGAATAAAGAAATGCTAATGAAAGTAAACTTGATTTTCACACATTAAATACACAAGGAATAAAAGTGTATTTAAATACCAGAGAAATGTGGTAAATAAAATGTTGGTAAAGCAATCAGCATAATCAAGATTATGGAAAACTCTACAGAACAGAGTATCATGGCTTTATCAGCAAACCAATTATAACAGGAAGACAAAGAACAGGAGGTAAATCTAGGAAACCTATAGATGGAAAGACAGAGTTTGGATGGACTGTCCTTGGATACTGATTTCAACAAAAACCTTGAAAAAAGTTGTGAAGTAAATGAGAAATGTGAACATTTACTGCATATTAATTTTTCAGATTGGAAAGTTATATTGCTTTTATGTTCCTTGTCTCTTAGATGAGAATTACTTATGGGTTAAGCCAGACAATGCCCATAATTTATTTCAGTGTAGTGGAGAGAGATAGACTTAAGAGACAAAAACAAACACAAGTTGATGATTGCAGAGGCTGGGGAGGACACATAGAGGCTGTTTATATCTATCCTTTGCAAATTTGTTTCTGCTTGAAACTATCATTAACAAATAGTTAAAGAATGCCACATTCTCTACCTTCTAAAAATCCAGATTTCTGGGCCAAAAGGTCCGTAATTCTAAGTTTACAAATATGAGGTAAGAACCAGGAATTTATTTCTTTTTAAAATCTGCAATCCCAAACATCTCTCCTCTAGATTTAAAAAAAAACAAAAAACAAATATATATATACATATATATATGTATATATATACATATATATGTTGTGTCCCCCCAGCACTTAAATTATGAAATATATTCTAAAATCACAATTGGCATGTGGATTTTCCATGACTTTATGGAGCATCACAATTAGAAAACTAAAGACATTATAATACTCTTTTCCCTACTATTTCCAAAAATCATTCCTTCATCAAGCATGTTAGCTTATTTTATTCCTCTTGAAGAGAGTATGAAAACCATAGTACACAAGAATTTTTTCTTGAAATGCACACACACACAAAGATTGGATGCTGAGACATTTTAAAACTAATATGCATTTCTCATTGATCAATTACTATTTTTGCCTCAGTTAAGAAAAAAGTACAAAACATATCATACTTACTTTTATTCATTTGAAATCTTGAGTTTATTTGAATCTTTTGTTTGAAATGAATTTAAATCTGTGCCCATTTACAGCACATATACTAACTAATTTACATAAATCGACCTCAATAAAAATATAATTAATTAATGATAAATAATAATGATAAATAGCATCTACTTTGGCAAGATCTGAAATTTCATTAATTCTGTTGGGTTTTTTGTTTGTTTGTTTACCCAGGTGATAATAGAGAGACAACTTATGCGGATGAAAGGCTTCAAAAATGTATGTATGAGTGGTAAAAACAGAAAATAATCTGCTCACATTCTATCCCGTTCCGGGTTGCTTCCAGGCTTCGAGCTGGGTCCGCAGAGCATCGGAGCCGTCCCACCAGCTATTGGTGCTTTCTCTCCCCTCAGGCGAGCCCAAAGTCATTCTTTGGAATTTAAGCAATCATAAAGCTACCTCTGAGCTAATCCAGAAGACTTTTGAAATTCTGTTAGCATTCTTAGTTTTTAAGCTCATTTTTCAGTTTCGAGATTTGAACCTAGGCCTTCGTACTGAGCTAAAACCCCAGCCCTTTTCATTTTTCACTTTGAGATAGGGTTTAACGGAATCATTAAGTTGCTCAGGCTGAGCTTGAATTTGTGATGCTCCTGCCTCAACGTCCCAGAGTCCTTGAGATTACAAGTGTGTGCCACCATGCCACACTTCACCTGAAAATTTGTATTTGCCCGAGTATGTCAAGACACTTGCCATCATTTCAAATATTTGAATTCCATAGGAAACTTTGACCACACGTCCTATTCCTGTCTATCTATGGTGAAATTTTCCCTTTCTTTTTGTTGTTTTATAAATAATATTCTCTTGTCTGCAATGTGCAATTATAGATTTCATTTATTATTCCCGTGTGAATAAAACAAATGAACTGCAATATTTTATTTATAAAACAGCATTCTTATGTTGCTATTTGATTTCTTTTTTTATTTCTTATAATATTCAGAAAAAGTCATCTAATATAAAGAATATATTTTCATAAATTCTTGGAATGAACATGCTTTCTCTTATTTTTGACTTTAAACATAGACATCAGTATATATTATGGCTGCAGTTCCTTGCTATTATAAACACAAATTTTCTCATAATTTTCTGAATATTAAAGAACAAAGAGTGCTACCCACAATATTATTTAGTTGAATTGCCTCCCGGGTTATATAGTAGAGCTCATCTTATAGGTGATAAAATGACAAAGCATCTTGCATTTCTGTCACTCGCTCTGGGATGTGCGCGGAAGAACAAGATGTATAGTCCTGTAGTACCGTCGTAAAGATTCACACGAATTGTTCCTTTCTTTCAGATAGCTGCTACTTTCCTCTGTGTCACATACTGTCATTAAATTCTCCACCCTCGCTATTACGGCTTCCATTACCA